GTTTATTTGGACTGATGTGGTGACTATGTGTCATTTAGTTTACACAATGTCCATGTGGACACATATTCAAGTAAGCACAATTAACTTATAGTTAAAAGTCAGTTTTGGAAAAAACATAAAATATCAGGGACTTTTAGAAAAATGGATTTAAAAAAACATTAGAGTGATCATTGTAGGGGAAACTGAATAATAGTAAAACCCAACACTAAAAAAGATTAGAATTATACCAGACAGTAACAAATATTATAATTTTGAAGTAAGCGATTTTTTGGCGATACATATCTCGCCATTCGATAATTGCACCATACTTTTTCTACATTGTCACATTAATTTCTTTCATTGTTGTAAGTTAACTTGCTACAATTTCTTGCTTTACTTTTTTTTATTTTTGTAGTTTCTTTATGATCTTCCTTTCAAAAGATGTTCTCCTCGTTTTGTTAAAGTTCTCATGGTCTTTATTAATTGTTATAAAAATTTATTGAAAATTTGAATGACATCGACTCCACTTTCATACTGCATGAATACATGTCAACAAAAAATGTTGAAAACTAAAACGCCACATCAAAAGATCATCCTAATTTAGATTAAAAGAGTTTCTCAAAAAAAAGATTAAAAGAGTCAAAATAAATGATTTTGAGAGTCAGGAGATATGCTCTGACCAAATACTACCATTTGTGGCTGGAAATTAGTTACTGGCCATAGTTGGGTGTGCGCACATGTCTATCGTCAAAATGCTCCAAACTCCTAGCACCGTGCTACAAGGACCATACGTACTACTTTGGTGGTTTGTTGCGGACATTGTACTAGCTGAGATTACTTACACGGTAGCACTTGCGGAAATCTCACTGCAATACGTTTGGTAGTCAATGATTAGCACGTGAATCCAACTCACTCTGAAAGTCGGCAGGACGCAGTTCATGCACGCACGCGCCTGGCCTGGTGCTCGAAACAATTTACGTGCCTGAGGCCGGCCCCGCGCGCTACGTTGACAGGCTGGGCTGGCTAGCACCCCTACCTACGCATGAAATCGGAGCTCCGCGCCCGGCGTTCGAGTCGGCCGCATGGCGGTCTTCGCCTTGGCCCCGTCGTGACGTGAACGCTCGATCGGGCCGGGGGCTGGACGCATGATGGCATTTGACGGCGATGATGGCCTCCACGGCGCGGCGCGCCTCCCCCGACGCGAGAGCGCCTACGGCGTGGAGTGTGCGCCCTGGACGTGGTCTACGGCGGGTCCCCACCCCGCAGTAGGAGGAGGAGGGGCGCTCGAGTTGCGTCGCTCGCGATGCAACGAGGCAGGGCAGGGCAGCCCGTTTGATGGCCTATAATGGCGGTTGCATCGGGCCGTTCCCCTGCGCCGCTACACCATCACTGCCAGCGGCGGCCTCCGGTGGCGTCCATGATTCTCCGGTCGCACGGGCCTCCGCCCGCGCCAATCAGGCGGCGCGGCCCGGGTGACGCCCCGGTGACGATGGTGCCATATGTTGCACTGCTATCATGCTTCCCCGGGCATGTGTGTCGATCAGCCGTTTGCTGCGTCCCATTTTTCTATTCATCAGACCAAATTTCCTAATGCAGCAAGCAGTGGAATTGCTACTTGGGCTTGAAGTAGTAGTACTACTCACATGGAATGGAAGCAAGCCGAACCACAAAAGGCAGAGGCGAGGCGAGGCGAGGGGGGTGTAATCCTAATCCGCTAGGAGACAGCACGTGAAGTACAATCTCGATGGGTAATCTCGCATGTCCGGTGGTCCATCGGGGCAAGCCCCGCTGCCAGTACTCCTCGGCCATCATGGCTGTCCCCCGGGCGCCCCGGCGCGCCGCCATGACTATCCCGCCCGCCCCGCCCCGCCCCGCCGGCGCCTACCCTACCGACGGGGCGGCCCTAGGGCAGCAGCATCGATCGATGGCCACGGCGGGCACGCGCGTCGCGTCCGACGGCGGCAGGCCCCTCCGCCGCCCGATCCCGATCCGACGGCGCGCCAGGCGTTCGTGCATGCACTCAATGGTTCCCTCCCGCGGACGCGTGCGTGCGGCTCGGCTTGCTTCGTGCTTGGGACTGGGTTGGAATGGGTGGATTGCCCTGCCACGATGCCCACCTCCATTGACCGGGGCCTCGCCTCCCCTCCGCACCGCCGCTCAGCGGCCTTACAGTCACGGGCATGTGGGCCGCCCCTCTCCCCGGGGCCCGCGCGTCATGGTGCGCGCGGGCAAAACGATGGCGTGGGCCGCAGGGCGGTTCGGGGGCTCGGGCGCGGTGGGAAGCGGCACGCGCACCCACAGCGAGCACGAACCCATCGAGTGCGCACGCCACCTCATTAATTTCGTTCCCTCTCTCCTCCCCCCGCCCCCGCCCCCATTCATTCATTCGTTTCCATCACTGCGCTGCGCCGCGGTGCTCGCCATCCTCCTCCTCCTCCCCCCCTTCCTTCCTCTCTGTATCTACTACTCAAAAGGAGTGCAGGGCAAAAAGAATCAATAGAGAGAAGGCGGGGCATGAACCCACGCACGCACGCACGCACCAATCCGAGCATCCAACGCTCCCTTCATCCCTTGTATAAAACCCCGCGCTGCGCCCAGCGCCATCCATCCATCCATCCGCTCTGCTCCTCCCTGCTCTCCACCGGCCTGCTTGCTCGCTCGCCGTCTGCAATTCTTCTTCGCCAAGATCATACCATACCATACCACACACACACAAAGCCATCGCCATTACATCTCCCGCCTGCTCTGGCTCTGCTGCGCGGTGCCTTGATGCCGTTTCCGTTTGATGATGCAGAGTAGGATGCCGTGGGTGTTCTTCCATGTCGCCCTCTGATCATCGCCGCCGCTCCGCCGATCGGCAGCGCTCCACGAGGACATGCGAGCTGGGTTCAACGGGGCTGCCGCGATCGTTATGACAAGTGGCGCCGTCGCGTGTTACTACAGATTGACGCAACTCTGCCAGGTGAGGACAGAGCCTCGCGCACCGAAAAACTAGTAAGCTACTTACTACTACAATGTTCTTCTTTCTTCTGCTACTCTACTTGTTTAGTTTCAGATTGATTCTTCTTGATGATTTCTTCTTGTTGCTTTTGAGCATCGCTAGTCTGATACTACTGCTTGCTAGTGGGAGCGGGAATGAATCATGATGCATCATCTCATCTTCTAGTATAGTTGTAGATAAGCAGCAACTTTCTCATTGGTCCTGTCCCTCCGTTAGTGTTGAGATAGGAAAGGAAAGGAAATGCCGGCCTGAATGCCGTTGTGCATGCAGACAGGAAAGCTTGCGATCGGGCCCACATTTTGACGGAACTCGACGTCCACGCCCGTGTTGACAACAAAGTGGTTTGTTAGTGGTCAAAAGAAAAAGACATGGCGTTTTCAAGTAGGAGTAGCAGTGTCTTTTCGTTCTGCGTTTTTTCGTTGGTCGACAAAAGATGGGAGCAGTAGTACAGCCCAGCGCTGCTTTGGTTCATGTATGTATTCTTTGCCTCAGACAGGGGAGCATGTTCGAGCGCTTCTTCGGTTGCCAGCGTAAATATACTTCCAGTTAAAATACTGGGCAGTACTAGTAACTTCAAATTAACAATTAGCAGCAGTACATCCTAAGGTACATGAATGCAATTTAAACAGTTCGTCTGATTCATAATGCACTTTGCCGCGTCAGTGAATCGTAGTTTCGCATGACAGTACACTCTGTAGTTCCATTTGTCGGATCGTATGGAGAAAAGAACAGCACACTCTGTAGTTCCTCTGCTTCTAGTATGGTAGCTGCATACTGAAACAGTGGCGACAGTTCAGATTTATTCAGTAACAAGGTGCAAGTATCGGCACATAGGATTAGACGCGTGCCCACATTGCTATTATTAGAGCATTTCCCTTGGAGAATCGAGCGGGACGACTAGCTTGTGTCCTATGGTTTGGTACCACAGTACGCTTTGTCCACCCTTAATCATCATTAATTGCAGCGTAGTACCTTTTCCTTTTGACAAGTGCTACTACATGCTACTACCAGTGTGCTCGTGCTCTGTTCGTGCATGTATGCATTCATTTTCAGTCTCAGAGACTAGTCGCTGCCATGCTCTGTTCTCATTTTGCTCTGTTCTCACGCTGGGAAATCTTGCCATGCTTCAAAACAAGTAGACGTGTCATTAGATGATGTGTTCATAAGTCATAATCATACATTGCACTTCCATTTCTGTTAACTTCTGTTTGATTGTATGCTCGTGATCGTTCACTAACGTATCTTGCCACTGCCTACTGCTTGCAGGCCGAATACTTCCGCCAGCTGCTCAAGCCTGTGACGTAGATTCGGCCACAAAATCCCACACATCGACCAGACATTCCCTCCAAAACAGCCTCAAACTCACACACTAACCGAATCAATTTTGAATTTGAACCAGAGAAAGTCAGTCCAGCTCCAGTTAACCACAAACACCCTTGAATTCTTCTTCTTATTCGTTTTCCTTGAATTCTCCACCAAACCCATCCATCCACAAACACATCTCTCTCTAGGAGTTGAGCAGCTAGCAGCAACGAGCGAAGTGATGCAGGGAGATCCAGGCTACGGGTACGGTGGCTACGGCGCCGGCTACGGGTACGGCTATGGCGGTGGCTACGGCGCCGGCTATGACATGGCCGGGTACGGCAACGGAGCCGGAGGAGCGTACTACACCAACGACCGGTACCCCGCGGCGGCGCCGCCTGCCTATGAGGACCCGCTCGCCGGTCGGAGGCAGCACGACTTCCCGGCTCCGCTCACCGGGCTCGAGTTCCAGCCGTCGGATACCTGCCCCAAGAACTACGTCATCTTTGATCAGACCTATGACCGGAGCAGGGTGATGTACCACCCGTCGCTGGCCAACAACTTCGGCTCCTCCGGGGGCTACGACCAGCAGCACTGCAACAACGGCGGCTACGATCAGAACTACGTCGGCAAGAGCACCTACTACGGCGGCGACCAGGACGGCGGCGAGTGCTCAATCCGGCAGAAGGAGGACACCGACGAGATCGACGCGCTGATGAGCTCCGGGGACGGCGACGAGGAGGACGACGTGCTGAGCACGGGTCGCACGCCCGCGTGCCGCGGAGGGGGCTCGCCGGACTCCACCTGCTCCTCCGGGTACGTGGTGAGCGTCAGCCCGACTGGCAACGCCACCGGCGCCGGCGGAGGCGGCGAGAGGAAGAAGGAACGGATGAAGAAGATGATGAAGACGCTCAAGGGGATCATCCCCGGCGGCGACCGGATGGACACGCCCGCCGTCCTGGACGAGGCCGTCAGGTACCTCAAGTCGCTCAAGGTGGAGGTGAAGAAGCTCGGGGTGCGCGGATCAAGAAGCTAGGGAGGGATAGCGACCTCACATGGCAATGCAGGTCGAGCCTATGATGGAGGCAGATAAGACGGGGGAGTTGGTGCTCGCTCCTTTTTGCACTGCCATGATGCCATCCCGTGGAGCTCTCGAGGATCAGTGGAAAGGAATGATATGGAAGGATTCAGTTGCCGCACGCGCCGATCTCTCGCCCCCCTCCCTCCCTCCCTCTAGCTGCGTGCGTGCCTGGATTGTTGCTTTGCTTTTGTAGAAGTTGCTGCTTTTCTTCCCCCCCTCCCCCTCCCTCTCCCTCTCGTATCTCTAGGTGCCGGCTGGTGTTGTAACTAGCATGCTGATTATATACACCGTGTTTTTGTTTATCCCCGTCATCATCCCTCCCCCTGTGCTCCGCTCCACTTCTATAGAGCTGGCTTACCATGTTCTTTCTTGTTCTTTATTTTTTTTAGCAAGGCAATGGCTGTTGAATCCCCTGCAACAGGACTTGAATCCCTTATTGGGGCGAAAAATTGCTGTAGGAATTTCATATGATGGGAGCTTAAGATTTATTAAAAAGATGCAATTCTATGAAGGCGTCTCGGAAATTCTGAATCAAGGGGCTGGCTTTAGATTTACTGCAGAATGCTACTTTCCCACTTTCTTTGCATTGCAAACATTTTTCAGGGAGTTGGGCTAAGTGGAAATTTTCTAGTACTCCAAATGAAGTTTCGATCATTCAAATCTAACAAACTCTTCAAGGGAAACAAAAATCACTATGGAATTGAATTCACAACAAAGGTAAGGAATTCCTTAAGCAAAAAGGCATAGGATACAAATTCATGTATTTTCGGTTTGTAGGATTAAATATGGTATGATATGTTGATATGCAGGAGTGTCAAGTGCTAGAAATCCATGTCATTATCGCTCAAAAAATGAAATCAATGTGATTTTGTATTTATTTCCTCATTCAGTTCATCTTTTTTATTTAATTTTTCTTGCAGTGTACAATGCTATTTTTTACTAGTGAAACACGGCGTGTTGCCGCGGGAATTGTTTGTGATAATTTTAATGAGTTCTGTTACATGAACATGAATATTTGGATTAATAATATAAAAGGTTAAACTGAAAATACATATGATTATTATTTAATTACAACATGTTTATTGAATATAAGGATCATAATAATATAATTAAGACATCTAAGTCTTTTTCATGCATGTTTGCATGTTGAGGTGGGCTTTTCATACATGATTACATGTTGAGGTGGGCTTTTTATACATGATTACCTGTTGAGGTGATTTAGTTGCATGGTTAGATAAATATGTTAGGAGGGATCAACTACTTAGTTATATATAGGATTTGTCTGCAATCTTGCAACACACTCTTTCATTATTGGATAACAAACAAACCCTAAAGTTCAAGCCGGGTCATGCGACTCCTTGGGGGCAAGGGACACTACAGAGTTATGATAATATTTATAAAAAAGTGCATAGTTATGATGTTATTCATGGCATGATCAGTACATAGGCATTACCTCCATGACAAGTAGACCGAAACGATTTTGCATCTACCACTATGACTCCACTTTGAGAGCGCTTCTATGATTGTCTCTCTACGTATTAAGTTCATGACAAACAAATCAGTGCATGAAATATGATGACATAATGTAGAGGGAATAAGAACAACCAATATGATCAAACCCCGCCGTTTTACCCTTAGTAGTAACAATACAAATACGTGCCTCACTACTCCTCCTGTCATAGATGAGGACACCACAAGATTGAACCTATCACAAAGCACCTCTCCCGCTGAAGATAAATCAATCTAATTGGCCAAACTAAACGATTAGATCAGAGAGAAATACAAAGCTATAACAATCACACATAACAAAGTTCAAAAATAACTCAATTACTTTCAATGAACAATCTGATCATAAACCCCACAACTCATCGGATCCCAACAAACACACCGCAAAAGATGATATCGAATCGATCTCCAGAGAGAACATTTATTGAAGATCAGAGAGAGAGAGAGAGAGAGAGAGAGAGAGATCTAACTACTGCTATGCACCCTTAGGTCATGAGGGGAGCTACTCCCACATCATCATGGAGGCAATAAGGTTGATGAAGAAGGCCTCCGTGATCGATTCCCCCTTTGGCAAATAACCGAAAAAGGCCTCCAGAGGAGTGAAGGAAATATGCCCTAGAGGCAATAATAAAGTTGTTATTTATATTTCCTTATACCATGATAAATGTTTATCATTCATGCTTGAATTGTATTAACTGGAAACTTAGTACATATGTGAATACATAGACAAATAGAGTGTCCCTAGCATGCCTCTACTTGACTAGCTCGTTAAACAAAGATGGTTAAGTTTCCTAGCCATAGACATGTGTTGTCATTTGATGAACGGGATCACATCATTAGAGAATGATGTGATGGACTAGACCCATCCGTTAGCTTAGCACTATGATCATTTACTTTATTGCTATTGCTTTGTTCATGACTTATACATGTTCCTATGACTATGAGATTATGCAACTCCCGAATACCGGAGGAACACCGTGTGTGCTATCAAACGTCACAACGTAACTAGGTGATTATAAGATGCTCTACAGGTGTCTCCGATGGTGTTTGTTGAGTTGGCATAGATCGAGATTAGGATTTGTCACTCCGATTGTCGGAGAGGTATCTCTGGGCCCACTCGGTAACGCTCATCACTATAAGCCTGGCAAGCAATGTGACTAATGAGTTAGTTGCGGGATGATGCATTACGGAATGAGTAAAGAGACTTGCCAGTAACGAGATTGAACTAGGTATGATGATACCGACGATCGAATCTCGGGCAAGTAACATACCGATGACAAAGGGAACAACGTATGTTGTTATGCGGTTTGACCGATAAAGATCTTCGTAGAATATGTAGGAACCAATATGACCATCCAGGTTCCGCTATTGGTTATTTGTCGGAGATGTGTCTCGGTCATGTCTACATAGTTCTCGAACCCATAGGGTCCACACGCTTAACGTTCGATGACGATCGGTATTATGAGTTTATGTGTTTTGATGTACCGAAGGTAGTTCGGAGTCCCGAATGAGATCACGGACATGACGAGGAGTCTCGAAATGGTCGAGACATAAAGATTGATATATTGGAAGACTATATTCGGACACCGGAACAGTTCCGAGCTGTATCGGGTATT